TTTTCCACAACTGCATCATTTTTTGAGCTTGGACTTATTTTTTGTCATGTGTTTTCTGTCATGTGTTGTGTAGTAACATATTCATGGGTAAAGAGGATCTGTTAACACCTCACAACTAGCTCCTGATCAGCAATCGTGTTTGCAATTCTACAAATATGACCTAGGCTAAATTAGCTAGGACATTACTAGCAAGCACAACAATGGTTTTTTTTTAACTGCAGGAGTGAAAAGCAATGCCAGTTACCATGGACATAACAGGTCAACAAGGAACCAATCAAATGAGCAGGTACATGTTTTTCTTTGACTCAGATGGCACATGCTAAGTGGCCTGTATTTGATATAGTGCCTTATAAAGTCCTGGAACCCCCAAGTGCTTTACAACACAATCAGTCATTCACCCATATACACATGCATTCACATCCTGGTGGGGACGATCTATGATAGCCACAGCTGCCCTGGGGCGCACTGACAGAGGCTTCAGAAAGAAATGTAAACATCCTGGTACTGGACCTTCTGAGTGTCTTTTGGCTCATTTACACATTGGTCTGCTCGGCCAGAGCCAGGTATGGACAGTTCGTCCCTGAGTACTTAGACATTTACGTTAAGCACCATACATGTAACATTTATTCAGCTTAATTACATTTGCTACAGAACTGGAGGAAGAGACTGCAAACCAGTCACTCACAGATATCAGCCAGCAGATCCCTGCGCAATAAACCGCTTACAGCAATATAGCTCCTGCGCTAACAGGCTGTGCTAACTTAGCCTTCTCATGAGCATGGCCGTGGGCACGGACAAGGCAGGCCTTGCTTAGGTAGAGCAGAGAAGTCCATGGAATCATTCATATGCATTACTAGTTAGTAAACAAAAGCAGACATGAGTCTTGTTGTTTTGGAAACTGACACGAAGCACACGGTTTCCTACTCTTCTCACTCCTATCCAACCGATTTCTCAGCAGACAGTCAGTCCTCGTGTTGCTGCTGTATCTCCGACCCATCTGAGCTGCAGTCAGACAACATGTTTATACCACTGCATCCAGATTGCTAATAAGTCACATGTATGGAAAGCCACAGCTTGCTGATTCTACTCATGCCAATCAGAAGCTTCCACTAGGAGGTAGGCATGAGAGTGACATCACTTCAGCTTGTCTGAAAAATTATCAACCACCTTTTAGCTCCATGTTAAAGAGAAATCAGTGCATGCTAATACAAATGACTATTTACAGGATGCTGGTGAAGTTAATTATGCAGTTCTGGATTTCTCCATGAGAAAGACCAAAAAGAAGAAAGAATCTCCTGAAGAGTGTGTCTACTCCACTGTGAGGGCAGAGCAAGGTCTGTGACAGCGGCGACGGCGTGTCCACGCTTTCCTCTTTCACTTCCTTCTCCTCTCGGGTAGAGGTTGAAGCATTGGTTGGAGACACTTCATCCGTCTCCTCTCGCTTCACCATTTTCTTAGAGGTATTTCTTCTGCCTTTCACCATTCTGATAAATTCTCAGTCTGTCCGCCGAAATGGATCAGAGCTTTTAAAGAGGCAAGCAGGGTTGGAGGGAGGGATGTGGAGTATTACGAATGAAAGGGAGGGGCTGTGGGAACTGTGGGGATGTCATGGTCTGTGCTGAGCTAACACCTGTTTGTGTTGAGTTTCTCTGTGTGCAGGTGGGTGTGTCCGGAGAGCAGCTGCTGTTGATCTCCTCATCAGTGGTCAGGGGATTTAAGGAGTGTCGGGACTACACATCAGCGCTGGATGATTACTCAGTATTGGGTACCTTCCATTCATCTGCCAACTTCCACCACCAAGCAAGAGACTCACCGGATCATCCTGCTCACCAGCCCGTCGCTCGCCCCTGACCGCCTGCTCTCCAACCCCCACCTGTCATCAGTACAACCTGGCAGTGGCGGCTGGTGAAAAATATTTTTGGTGGGGCTGTGCTATTTTTTATTTTTAAACAAACTTGTGCTTTCTGAGCTTTGTGCACAACTTCACTATTTCCTGAATTAAGCACAGCTCTTTTATTTCCTGTCTTACATCATTGGACAAACTGATTAATCCAGGTGTGTCTGACTATTGGCCAACTGCCTTGCAGACCAAGGTTGAAAAATACTGCATTAAATTGCACATAAAATAGCACGACCATAAATGGTAAATAGGCAATGCAAGAGGCAAGTAACAAAAACATTTTGTTTAATTTCAACATTTGAGTGAACACAAAAAATTATGAGCAGGTCACTGTTACAGTAATGGTAGTAAACACTACTTAGACAAAATGCCAGAAATTTACACTGTTAAATATTTCTGGAGTGTTGTGCCAAGGTCAACTTTATACAATGATCAAGTGGATGCATTTGTGTGTGTGTGTGTGTGATACTTCATTTGTACAGAAATTTTGCCCTTCTGTCCTTCTGAGTGGCAAAGCTCTCGATGAGCTTTTTATTGAAGTCAGGAATGTTTGTGACAAGCTTTTTTTTCCATGGAGAGCATGGCAAGAGCATTCAGCCCATCCTGTGTCATGGTGTTCCTCAAGGAAAGTCTTAATCCTCTTTAAAGTAGATAAATAAAAAAACAACAGATAAGTACATAGGAAACACTTTCATAGGAAATAATGTCATCAGTATCCTCTTACAAATGTCATATTTCCCAGTTTTTGGGACAATAAAACATTTCTGATTCTCAATCAGATGTTTTTACATTTGAGGTAAAAACATCTAATTGAGAATCAGAAATGTTTAATTGTCCCAAAAGCTGGGAAATTTGTTTGCTGCAACAGAAGTGTAACAAGTAAAATGGAATCAGATTGATGTATGTACAAATTTACATAAAATACACATTTATGTGATTAAATATGTATAATAAGTATGTGTGTTGAAATTAGTTTTTACAGTTATTGCACATTAAACATGTTATTAAACAAATGTCCCGGTTTGTGGGACAACCAAGGATTTCTGATTCTGATTGTCTTGTTCACAGAAATGTAATGTACAGCTTACCTCTGCACCCAGCTGCTGCTGTTCCCTGCATGGTAACGTTAGCTCTGCTGCCTAGCATGGCTAGCTTCACCGTGTTGTTGTCCATGTGTGCCCGGGATGACTCGTGTTTCTTCACCTTCTCAGAAAAATGTTTCATGTCTGTAACTCATGACTCATCCATGCCTTATCTGTCCCAGCCGTTTTGAATAACAAACACGGAAAGCAAAATAACGCATTAGCGTGATTGCATCCAGCTAGCCACTGCTTCCTGGTGTACCAATTTTGGGAGAAGCGTCGTGTGTACAGTTTACCTCTCTCCTTCTCCTGCTGGCTTATCTTTACGTCGGGCTGATCTGGTCCAAGCTCTCTGACATTAAGTTTTTCCACCATAGTTCTCCTCTCGAACGGATACTGGAGAAGAGACCGAACTGAATTCAGTGGCTGCTGAGATCCGGTATCCATGCTGGTTGTAGTCACTGGCGGCGTCCATGTTACATCTGCTTCACGACCAAAAACTACTCTGCCGAGTTCTACCGAACACCAACGAAACCTTTGGCGGTAGCTCCATCGCCCATCATGCTTCTGAAACGTTCTGAAACAACGTCGATGCTGATTGGATACATTCCCATTCCTACCCTTTGATATTCTTGTCAGCAATTGGACAGCTGGTCTCGTCCTGTTTGGGCGATTGAAAAACAGCACACAGCCTCCACCGCTCGGCAGAGACCGGCAGAGACCAATATATATATATATATATATATATATATATATATATATATATATATATATATATATATATATATATATATATATATATATATATATGATTTATTTTTGTTACAAAACACACAATTAACTTAGAATATGTGATTATTGTTCATTTTATTTATTTATTTATTTTAAATAAAAATTAAAAACACGGAAAAACTGGGAGGGCGGCGCCCTATCGCCCTCTACTGGCCAGCCGCCACTGCAACCTGGACTCCGGTGCTCAGCTCCCAGCCATTTCCTCTGCCTCTCGCCCGACCAACTCAGCCAGCCTTGACGTGCCCTCCTCTCAAACTCTCTCTAACTACCCGCAAACCGTAAGACAAAAAAAAAATCGGGTTTTCATTAAAGAAGTGTCAACGGTACAAGATCTTCTTGTGGCTTGTTTGACTGCAAATGCATTTAGACAATATTGAAGAAATGGGCTTTGAAAAATAGTGAATAGGCATCCAAAAAAATTAGGATCATGAACAACGCAAGGGGTCCTTTTGGACACCTGTGGGTGTAGCATAAAAGCCTGATTGAAGGAATATAAACTTTTGTTCAAAGATAAACATGGAACATAATAAAGTAATCATATTAATTCTTATGTGCAACATAAATCTCTTATTTTCATAACAGCTTTTTCTCCCAATGCACTAAATATACATTTATGTTTATAAACTGCTATATTGCAAGCCAGTTATCATTTTAAAGAGAACATAAGTGTGTTCCCTTCGTGTTTTGCTGTGTTTCAAATGGTGGCACCATCTAAAATTAGACCAGTAGCTTATTTTGACAGCGCAAATGGAGTAATCGTCACATCACAGTTTTGTTGAGGTTATTATATTCTAGAGGACGTGATACTGCTGTACCAAACCCTTTAATAAGAACAACAATTTTCTTTACCAGAAAATGGGGCACACATTTTTTAAAGATTTTTTTGGCAAGTTGTGAAATTGAATTATTATTTATGTATTATTTATAAAAACACTTGTGTAACTGCCAAAAACAACTTAAAATTCATGTGTAAAAACTTTTACACCCTTCATCTTTTAGCACCTCTGCAACAGGTTGAATGCAGACTTCCTGCAATTTGTTTTCTTTCTGTAGAATAGAATGTCTACCAAAAGAGAAATGCCTAACACTTGTTCTTTTCATTGACAGACTGTAAACTATTAACAAACTGCTCCGCAGCCCACACAAATACTTACATATACAATGTAAACCTCAAGCATTTTAGGTTATAGTAAATGTTATCCTATAAACATTCAGCCAAGGTGATCAAAAGTGTGTGCATGTAAGTCAAACACAACTAAAAAGTGTTCAAAATAATTTATTTCAGATACTGAGATTGTGACCAAACAATAGGACATTTATTCTATTGACCTTCACCCTAAATCAACACACACGACCAGGGTAATATAGGTATTGTGACTTAAAAGACCTTTGACAAAAAACAGGAAAAAGTCAAAGTCCCATTAGGTGTCACACACATTGACATGTGTGCAAAATTTGTAATTTGCATTTGACCTGTTCCCTGTGGGAGCGGTGAGCTGCAGACACGGCTGTGCTCAGGAACCATTCGGTGGTTTAAGCCCCCAGTTGAACCCCTTAATGCTGAGTGTCAAGAAGGGAGGCATTTGGTCTTTGGTATGACCTGACTGTGGAAATGAACCCATGATTCCCCAGTCTCAGGGTGGACACTCACGAATGCCCCGCACTTGTTTAGCGCCTTTCGGAGTCAGAGAACTCCAAAGTGCTTTACACTACAATGTATCATTCATCCATTCACACACTGGTGATGATGAGCTGCTATGTAGCTACAGCTGCCCTGGGGAAGTGGTACTTCAGGTTTTCTGTATCTGAAGAGTATTTAAGACTTTTGTGCCTTTGTCTTTAAGAGAGCAACATGACCATAAAAGCAGTTTATAACAGCAGTCCACTGAACAAAAAGCCCAGTTACTGACTTGCTATTCCACTCCAAAAGCCATCGTCTCTTTGTCCCTTGCATTTGACATCTTCGTAAAGATGGCAGTAGAGTACATTTGTGTTTCTTCTCTCTGAGATTTAAAAACACAAAATATTTGTCATGTGAATGATGATGAGGCATGACATCACTTTTTGACAATTTTACCTTTAGATTCCATTTCTCAACAATTCGTTGTTTACGCTGTGCAGCTGCAAGAAAAAATAAGATAATTAAAAACCATTTATATAGCAATATCTGGCAAACACACAAATGAATGACTTTAAAATGTACATTTTATGCCATTAATAAGTTTTATTACCATTGCAAGAGTCTGGCCTTTGCTTGATCAGGACAAGAAGGCACACTAGCACACCCACAGCCAAGACAATCCACATCAGAGAAAGAGTCCCGCCAGATTCTAAAACACAACCACAGACTCATTAAAGATTCATATTCAGCTGTGAACATATCATGCTATGTTAAACCTCTTAGATCAAAGGTAGTTACAGTATATGATAAAACATTATCGTTGACACTAGTGAGATTTACCTTAAATATGAGTTATTTTCATCAGCCTGAAATTACAACTGGAAATAAAGTGAAACTCTGCCCACGCCCGCTCCAACCAAATGTGCCTAACAGCATCTTAGGCGAGCCAGTTACTGTATTGGCTATGGTTGTCCAGTGGTTATGGCATCCTGTCAAGCACTCTAACAATTGGGACTACCAAGTCAGTTACATGATAGCAGTCACCCAAACCACATATCCTGTGCTGACCAGAGGAGACAGGTTTCAGTCCAGAAACTAGCTTCTGGGAGAGGAGCAAGGCCTGATAACAAGATTCGTTTCCATCGACTCTTTGCAAGATTTTCAAAGAAAAACCATGTTTTGTAGCTGAAACAAGAAAATGCATGAATGCAGGTTTGTTTGTTTTTTTTCCCAGGAGGAAACAAAATCACATGGTAAAAAGCTCCAAAAAGTGGATTTGCCTATGATATGGCCTCTTTAAGTGATTTGTGTTTCATTCAAGTTACAAAAAGGTTTTCTCCATGGATTTGATTCAACCTGTAATAAACACTTTGTCACCCAAAATAATCCATTTTTATCACTAATCTGCCATTTTTATTATTGATTTCCCATGCTCCAAGCCAAAGCTCAAAATAGCATTTTGTTTATTTTGTACACTTACCTTCAATTTGAAGCTTTTCTCCATTTCCAAATATAACTTCCCCACAAGTAACCAAAGCACAGTAGTAGGTCCCACTGTCGGAGGAGCTGACATTCATTGAGAGGTGATAAATACAGCTCATTGTAGAAGATGATTCTTCAGCTTTGCTATCACATTCTTGAAATCCGTTTTTATGGGTAAAGAGGATGTTTTCAAGAATTGTGTCTTTTCTAACTCCAAACCAGGACACACAGTGTTCACTTGGACAGGATGAGGTCTGAGAATCTGAGATGATTGAACACTGGAGAGTCACAGAGTCTCCTGGCTGAACTGGATCAACCACCCTCGGCAACTGAACAACCGTGTAGTTCACAGTTTTTGAACTTTTCTCTAGAAAATATAAAATTTCAAGAAAAATATATTTCATGAACGTTATGAGGACAGATAATTACTGAATGAGTTATGATGGGAAATAAATTGGCTGAGTTACCCTTTAAAGACAAAAAGGTCCCAGTCCAGTAATCCATCTTCCAGGTGGAGATGGCACAGTGATAAAAGGCTTCATCCTCTTTAACGGTCTTCAGAATGGTCATTGTGGACTTTACTGTAGTATAGGTAGCATTAAATCGTGAGGGAGAAATGCCTTCTTCAAACGTTGGCTCAACAGTGCCTTTCATCAGAACTGTTATTAATTTAAGCGTATCCCCAACAGCCTGTTTGTACCACTTGATTCTGGTGTTCTCCACATCAGAAAACTGGCATGTGAAGGTCACAGCTTCCCCAACCTTACCTCTGGTCACAGAAGTCAGTGAGTCTGAAATTGGAATGGAATTAGAATGAGTGGTGTTAGACAGTATTAAAGCTATTCTTTGATTATAAAATAAAAATTGAATGAATGGTTTTTGTTGGTCTTCAACCCAAACCACACAAAATGTTTAACAGTTAAAGTAAAATGGATTTAAAAAATCTACTTTTACTACACCATAGAGAGCTCCTTAACCCCTTAAAATATATAGAAAGACTCAAGTGAGCACTTACATCCTTGATGAATAAATATCAGCAGGATCCAAACCTCCATCCTCTTGTAGGTGTGAGTGCTTGTGTGGGTAATGGTGGACGTGATAGGCCAAACTAGGTGATGCAGCCACACAAAATCAGGTTATGTTTCCTGTAATGCTGTTATACTGCTGATCTGTTCTTGAGGTTTTGTGGGCAGTTTCAAACAGGTCAAAAAGCTACATTTTTGTTTGTGTAAAATCACATGACAGAATGCTGAAAAAATTACTTCTGAGACACGAGTCTTTACCAAAATCTGGATGCAAACAGGAGCAACACTTTTTATTTTGTTCATCAGTTTTTGTCTTTTAGACACAATCATTATAAAAGCATGTAACGTTGCTGCGTAGAGCAGTAATTCAGCATGTTTACTTACCAGTTTTACAGTTTAACATGGGGTGTTTGCTTTGCTAATAAAAAATAGCAACATTTGCTAATGTGATTGTCAAGTCTTGCCTTAACTTGTGTAGAATCCCCACTTGAAAGGGATGGCAGAGTCTTTGCAGTGTTATATGAATGGGTTTTACTCAAGGAACACACAATTTTTCCTTGTCGTCTTCATTTTATTTTGTAGTTTTTTTAGAAGGTTTCGGATTGTGGTTGGTCCCGTGCAGGTAAAAACCTAATTCAAACAAGAAACATGTAAATGCAAATGGTTACGACAAACCCATACTATACATTTTACTAAATTCAAATTGCACAAACTTAACTGAGAACCAACAAAATAGTACATTTCACAATTAACTTCAAAATAATTGTTTTTATTTTAACTATTTAAATGTTTAAATGTTTTAATAATTTATGCAAAATTGAACAACCTTTTAATTCTCTAATTTATGCAGTGCAAATATCTTAAACATGTTTATTGGTTTTTAAATTAATCAATGATCTTAAACTTTTAGCTCAATCCATCTAAAATTTACAAAAGCACATGACAAAGTCTATCAAATGTTGCTAAAAAAGTCTTAAAACACAGTGCTTTGCAGTGCAAACTATTGATGTCAAACAAATATGGCCATGCCACATCACCATGCTAGTAGGCCGGTGGCTAAGCTACAGCCAACCAGAAAACAACTCCAGCAATAAAGTTTCTTAAGTTTCTCTCTTACCGGCTGCCTTCCTGCTGCTTGAATCAAGATTCTGCTAGCTCCACACAGGCTTGCCACATAAGCAAAAAGTGCTTCACATGCGCCAAGGTTTGGTACCTGTGATTGTCTGACTACTATGGGTGTGTCTGAATCCACAGGAAGGATGCTTATGAGTACGGGTCCTCGCTGGTCTAGCAAGGCCGTGTCCTTTAAGACCGCTAAGACCGGAAGTCAGCGGCTCTGAATTCGGACATTCTAGCCTTCACCTCTACGGTGGCCCTTAGGTCACGTCACAGCCGTGGCGGCAGCTACACGCAAAGGAAAAATGCTAAAGCTAGCGAAAATCGAGCAGGACTTACATGTTAACTTTAGATGGTTTCATGTATGTTTTAAGCTACAGAATTAACTTGTTAAACATACACAACACATTTCTACAGAGTATTATCATGTAGGTAATTATTATAAACCAAATGCATTATAAATGTTGAATGCAGCAGGATGTTTTCTAATGTAAATTGGACCTTAAAACTTATTTTACATCAAATGAGGGTAAAACGTTTTAAAAAACAGGCTTTTTAATAAAATAGCATTGAAGTGTTTTCAATGTGCATTTGTTTATTCAACTTAAGCCTGATAATGATTAGATCTGTCTTAAAAATGTAAATTCTCTGTAGTTTTCCCTGCTGCTTTTCTTTAAACTGAACAGAGCCAGTGTACTGCAGGTTATATGTTTTGTTTTACATTTTTCAATTAAAAAAACTCTTTTTTAATCTATTACAGGTCAGCATGCACTGTGCTGCACATCTGCCTCTGTGCTGGTGAAGTTGTGGCCCTGGAGGACGAGCCTGAGGAAGATGTGTGTGGAGGAGGTCAGTGGTGCTCTGTCCTAGCCTAGTGAACTAGACCAAATTCTTGCTTTGCAAAGTTTGGTCTAGGCACGCTCCATTGGAACCTCTGCAGCTCCTTTTTTCCCTCCTTCATAGAGAGGTTTATTCAGTCTCCAACATAACATTTCTGCAAGCTTGTTTACATGGAGAACTTTTTATTTGGGGGCAGCAGTAGCTCAACAGGCTGAGCGGGTTGTCCAATAATCGGAAGGTTGCAGGTTCGATCCCGGCTCCGAACAGAGAATTCTGCTGTTGTGTCCTTGGGCTTAACCCACCTTGCCTGCTGGTGGTGGTCGGAGAGACCGGTGGCGCCTGTGCTCGGCAGCCTTGCCTCTGTCAGCGCACCCCCAGGGCAGCTGTGGCTGCATCGTAGCTCATCCCCACCAGCGTGTGAATGTGTGTGTTAATGGATGAATGATACACTGTAGTGTAAAGCGCCTTGGAGTCCTTACTCTAAGAGGCGCTATACAAGTGTGGGTCATTTATCATTCATATTTTCACCCTCAGGTTAAAGTTTTATTTTGTGTTGAAGAGTGTGTTTGCTTATAAAAGCTATATTTAAACCATAGCAGATAGTTAAATACTATATTTTTATAAGCTTAGTTACTCAGGGTTTTTACTGTTCTATTGCCTAAATTGTGCAGCACCCAGTCCCCTTATTCTATAGATCTATTCTTAGCTGTAGACGTTTAGAACCTACTTTCTCTATCTCTTTTCTAATAACTTTGTCTTTTTCATTTGTTTCTCTTAATACCAGGGGTTTAAGACAAACATGTAAACGCAAAGCTTTATTTTTGTTTGCCAAACAATTTAAAACAGATTTTTGCTTTCTCCAAGAGTGTCATTCCACACCTGCTGATACAAATTTTTGGAAATGGCAATGGGGTAATGACATCTGGTTGTCCCATGGCTCTGAGCGTTCTGCTGGAGTTGCCACGCTTAAAAATAATTTTTCTGGGGATGTGTTACACTCTGACTGTGACACCTTAGGACACTACCTCTGCTCAATAATCAGACACAATAACAGTACTTTCACTGCAGTAAATATATATGGTTACAATAATAAAACAGAAAATGATAAATTACTCGACTCCTTAGAAGAAAGAATTAATTTCTGGCTCTTCAAATACCCAAATTCAGTCCTATCAATTGGTGGAGACTTTAACATCGCTTTAGACAATTACGGTTGATAGGTGGCCTCCAGGGCAGCAATCCTCATACAGTGCAAACTTAAAATATTTTATGGGAAAATTTAATGTTGTGGATATATGGAGAAAAAAAATTTCAGATGATAGACTCTTTACTTGGAGCAATAAGACAGGATCCAGGCAATCACGTATTGACTTCTGGCTTGTTTCTGACTGCATTGATAAAGATATTATTACCGTTAATATACATGCCACCCCCCTCACTGATCATAGAGCAATTCACATTAACGTCCAAATAATTACACTGGATAATATACCTCATAATTTCTCTTATTGGAAGTTAAATAACTCTTTGCTAAAAGATAAAATGGTTAACATGCAGATTCATAATTTAATTGGTTATTATTGGAATAAAGCTAACAGAGAGAAATCCTTTTGTAGAAATTGGGAACTTTTTAATTTGAAGCATGCAAATTCTTGAGAAGATATGGGAGTCACATTGCTAAATTAAGGAAAGTTGAAGAACAAGACGTAATAAGCAGAATTGCCTCTTATTACCAGAAGTCCCCAGAAGAAATCTCAGAGGAAGATAAATTAAGTTTACTAGAACTTCAAAATAAATTGGATGGTTTATATCGACGCAAGGCTGAGGGTGCTTTTGTAAGATCCAGGAAAAGGTGGCTAGAGGAGGGCAAACAAAATTCTGCTTACTTTTTCAGGCTTGAAAAATACAGATCAAAAATGAACTCTATTCATCAACTAAATATTAATGGCATTGTCTCTGACAATCCTAGAGAAATTTCACATTTCCGTGCCAAATTCTATACTTAACTATACAACTCAAAATATAATGAGGTTGTCTCAACAGGATTTCTCAATAATATTAAAAACCTAAAAACGATTGTTGTGGAAGATAGAAGTTATTGTGACAGCCCTCTGACTGTGGAGGAAGTCTATACTTCCATTTCTGCACTTAAGGCCAATAAATCTCCCGGCACAGATGGTTTGACTGCAGAGTTTTATAAATCTTTTTCTAATCTCCTGGCCCCGTATTTACTGCAGGTTTTTACAGAAAGTATAGAGAATAACACCCTCCCTCCTACTCTTACTCAAGGTCTCATAACACTTATTCCAAAACCAAACAAAGACTTACTTTTTATTGATAATTGGAGACACATCTCCCTGCTCAATAATGACTATAAGATTATGGCTTTAATACTTGCTAACAGGATTAAAGAGGTCTTGGACACAATTATTGATGAGACACAATCAGGCTTTATGAGAAATAGACACATTTCTAATAACATTAGACTGGTTTTGGATTTACTTGATTACTCTGATTTGGTATCTGACAATAGCTTCATTCTCTTCCTGGATTTTTTTAAGGCTTTTGATACAATTGAACATCAATTTATTTTCCACTCTTTGGAAAAATTTGGCTTTGGTAGGTTTTTCTGTAAAGCTGTCAAAACCTTATACACAAATGGCAATAGTTCTATTAAAATGGTTAACGGCTCCACACCGAGATTTGACCTGAAACGTGGTATTCGCCAAGGATGTCCTATTTTACCATATTTATTTTTACTTCGTACACAAATTCTTGCAACTAATATTTCAAACAGTGTTGCACAAGGAATCACCATAGCTGATAAGGAGCTCGTGATTAGCCAGTTAGCCGATGACATCACACTCTTCTTAAAAAATGCAAACCAAATCCCTCTAGCTCTTAGTGTGATTAGTGACTTCTCTGAGGCCTCTGGTTTATGCCTAAATCTAAAAAAGTGTGAGTTACTAGCAATTAAAGACTGCCCTGCAAATACTGTCTGTAACATTTGTGTCAAACAGGAAGTCACATACCTGGGACTGTTAATATCCAAAGATCAAAAATCAAGATGCTCTTTAAACTTCACTCCAATTATACAGAAAACCCTAAAAAAGTTCAACCGGTGGATGCAGAGGGACTTGTCTTTGAAAGCTAGTGTGTTAATTACTAAAGCTGAAGGGTTATCCCGATTAACATATGCTGCTCTC